CTTGGTTCCCCGCCTCTGAACCCACCCTGAACACACACCTGTGGCTCATTCACACTGATCCTGGCAGACTACTTAAGATGGCAAGAGAGGCTGCTTCCTCGCTGGATCGTCACATTACCAAGTGCCTTCTAGACTCCCTGCCCGTCTTCCCTGCCGTCTGGATTTCTGTGGATGTGTGTGAGTGAGCGTGAGCTTTTTGGTGTGGACATTTTGAGTGAGTTACGGATCAAGTGGAAGAAGAGCGTGTGTGTGTACCCCCGTCTTGGACCTTCCCTTCGGACCCCGCCCTACTCCTGGGAGCCCTGTGTTATCTATTCCACTGTATATATGTATATATTCTCACTTGGTGTCACATTGCAAATAAACCCTCACCTTCTCTCTAAACTTCAGAGTCCTGCGAGTGAGTCCTCTGCCTACTAATCTGTGACAATTTCTTCAAAAATTTAGTTGAGTGTCTCAATGCAATAACTCAACTAGAAAATGTCTGTATATAATTTATCCAAATTATTATTTTGATAATTATGTGTGCCAATGTAATACAATTACTAATAATTTTTTTGTTTCAAGCCCAAACCTTTTGATCTCGATGCATAACACACGCATCAAAATGTAACCAGTGTTGTCCTCTTTCAGCCAGTGTCATAGGATTTATGGTTCCCTCATGAATTCCACCAAAACACAGACTCCTGCAATCACCTTGATCATAGAGAATAATTATAAAACAGCTGCCAAATTTTGTAAACTCCACACGTCCATCTAATCCACAAACATGAAAACAGAGAATTTTGTTTGTGGAGCAATCTCTGCAATAACTTAGAGTTTGCTCTAAGTTATTGCAGGGACATCCCTGCCTCTCTCTGATGAGTGCATATGTAGATGATACCCAGCTTTATCTATCCATGAAGCCAGGAATGGGATGATAATGTGGCATTTGCCTGGTGGGTCAACGCACTAGTGGGCCAATGAGTCAACAACATTTTTTTTTGTTGTTGTTGTTTTTTCACACACATACATAGGTAGAGGACATGCCCCTTAGAGACCTGGCAGCGATGGCGGGGCTATGACAGAAAGAGGAGGGAACCCATAGGGTTAGGTGACACATGCCCTATGGGCTCAGAAGTGGATTAAGCAGGCAGGATGAAAAACTCTAGGAACGCAGGACCGATACGATTTTCTGGAGACATCAGAGACTGGGGCTGCTTGCTGGAACACCCAGCTGGCGCTTGAGTCTATGGCTGCTCGGTAGGGCATGCAACCAACGTTACAGGTGACAACGACTGTGGCTTTACTGGCATGGGATCCACCGAGGCTCCAGATTTAACTGGGAATCCCAGCTGGGGAATAGACTCTGCACATGCCAAAGTCCCTGATGGGGTAAGCTCAGAAACAGAATATGCAGTCTTGGGGCAAGGTATCAGAGTGAGCCAGCCGGGGAAGACGAAACACAATTCTTTCCACATTGAACAACAGGGAAACGAAACAATCAGAGGCCAATTCAGACACAGAAAAGTCTAAATACTTTCTTACCGGTCGACACAGGAATACCAGGTAGTGTTCTATTTGTGACAACAGTAGCACAAACATCTGTACCTTTATTATTCGGCCAGCTCAAACACATCTTTCTCAGTTCTCAAGTGAACTGACTCATGAACAGAGAAGACACCAACTAACCCATTAACACTGGCTTGGAAACTAAAAACTCAGAAGCAAGCACAATATTGTTGGTTTCAAAAATAGAAATCATAGTCATTACCTCAACTGGGATAGCACCACACAGAACAGTTTTGTTACTGAACTAGAATTAAAAGCCCATCTTTATTCTGTCAGGCTCAGAGCGACCATGGAGGCACACGTCTTTTTCATTCACCCTTCTATTGGGTCACGGAGGCCTGACATTGGCTGATGCAATTGGAGGCGGGCACAGGCTGGAAGCAGTTGAGAGTGGTGACTAACACCTGCTGTCATAATCTGATGTGTTTTGGTTTTCCTGGAGTAGTTTTCCCATTTCTCTCACTTCAGCTCCAACTTCAGACTCCAGGTCCACCTCACCTGCAGTTCACTGACAGCAATCAGCACGGCAGTATTGAAAACCAGCTCAGAGCTTCACTCCCTGCCAGATCGTCAGTGTTACATTTACGCTCCAACCATTCACTCAGCTCAGCCAAGAACCTGATTCCCTCTTATGCTGATCCCCTCACGCTTGCTGCCTGCCTGTAGCGCACCTGCTCTTTGCTTACCTCTGAGCCGCTCAGAAATCTTGCGTACCTGCCTTCCTGCACACCTTAGTTCACCTCCGCTCTAGAAAGGAAAGATCAGAAATCAGACAAATTGCTTCCCTCATGCACCTCGAGAATCACCTGCCTCATCCTGTCCACGTCGCTCTAACAACAAGTGAGAAAACCTTGCCTTATTTCCTTGAACAATATCACTCCTCACATCAAAAACTCGGTAATTAACTCACCTCTCCCTTGCAGTGCTCCCCCATCCAGTGAGACTAGATCTCTACTTTGCTTTAGAAATTCCTGTGTTAAATAAAAGACTTAATTCAAATTTTACAGTGTTTTGAGTGTGCTTTTGGGTCCAATCTTGTATGCCGGGGGCAAGAACATTGCTTCTGTTGGGAAGATGGAGCCAATGAAACTGGGGCAGCAGAAACAGAGGAAGCAGGCTCCTCTTCTTCAACCTATAATTTCGCCAGAAAGGAGGCAGGAGGACACTTGCTGCTAAAGTGAGATAGACTTGTGTCCTCTACCTAGTTCCTCACTGTACTCTAGCAAACCTGAGTCTGCTGGGTCCTTTGGTATCCTTCTGTCAAGACTGTGCAGGCAGGAGTTGGACCCAAATGCAGGACTCAAATTAAGGGGGGTAAGCTAAAACAGTTTTATTTAACTTGAACTGAGTAAAAAATAATCAACGCAGGTCAAAACACAAAAAGAAAAACAAAGAGGAGGAGGACATGAAGAAGAACAGAAAAAAACAGGATTTAAATACACAACAGAAAATGACTACAAAGTAGAGACACCTGGGGAAACACAATTGAACTAAATCTATCTAATGCGACAAAGGGAAGAGAAACTGAACGCAATGCACAGGAGACGAGGTCGCTATTGTAGTGACTGTTGAGAAAACATGACGGGGGAAAAAGGATGCTAGAAATCAGCAGTGGTCAGTGTGAATGCAGCAGCTCAGTAGTCAAGTTGTTGTTTTGTTTGTATTCCCTTTAATGCAGTAAAGTAGTGTTATTATTTTTATTGTTATGAGATTCATATGAAATATTATCTCATTAAACGTTCACATCAGCATCTCTGCAAACAACACATGCTGTTTGTGTGCAGGGAGATGCTGTTCTGATCTTTATTTCACAATGAGAGAAATCAGGAAGGTATTTCTGCCTGTCAGACCGAAAGTTAGATCAGAGACTAATGGAACTATGTGTTTGCAGAGACAACAACTTATAGTTGTGATCAAAAGTTTAAATACACTCATCATGAGCATGAATGTCAGAGTGGTGAAAAAAGGACCAAGTGAAGGCAGAGGTGGGACCAAGTCATTGTCTTGCAAGTCTCAAGTAAGTCTCAAGTTTTATCCTCAAGTCTCAAGTCAAGTCTCAAGTAATGTCAGGCAAGTCAGAGTCGAGTCTCAAGTCACTGGTGTAAAAGTCCGAGTCAAGTCACAAGTCTGAAATTTTGAATTTCAAGTCCTTTCGAGTCTTTAAAAAAAAAAAAAAAAAATAATGTTGCAGTTATATGCTAAATGTAAATATTAGACCATGTAATTTTTAAATCTGTGTTTTTCTCAACACATGACAAAATAGTGAACTTAGAAAATATACACAAATTGTGAAATTGCACCTCTTTAAAATGCAGCTCAATTAAACCTAGCTCCAAGAATAATTTTCACCGACAGTTCTGAGATAAGCTGCATGTTATTCTTGGATGCGGTTGTAGGACCGGCTTTAAAATCGCATGACAAAAATATCATACACATTAAAAAAAACTGCATCACCAACGTAGCCTGGAAACATTTGCTAGTTAGATGAAGTCAGCTATCTCATCGTAGCATATTTATATGCATATTTATAATTAATACTTCATTGGAGATGCTCATTCATAAGTAAACAGACAAAAAAAAAAACAAAACACACACACACACACACAACACTCCCCCCCCAACACAAGGTATACACCATTAAATATATATATGTATATAAATAAGTATCTAAAACATTTGTAAAAATATAAAACCATAATATACATAAAACACAATTACTTAAAATAAATCAATAAATACACAAACACTTAACCAGTGCTTTCTCGAGACTGGATGAGTAACGGGAACCACTCACTGGATCTGTGAGTGCTAAAATTATACTGTTACTCGAACCATCCAGTCGTTCTCTAAAATTGAACATTAGCTTCTTAAAAGTGCTTTAAAAGTCCAAACACCCACAGCTACAAACATCTGGCTGGCACTACCACTTCTAGGTATCCTGCAAAGGATTCTCATCGCATCATTATATGCAACATGCAGCTTCTGCATGCTACATTGTTTGTAGGATGACCACAAGGGGGCAGTATATAGCGGTGTGCAATACGCTTTAAACAAAGCCACTTTAACTGGAAGTGAACAAAAGCTGAATTTGCGTGCAATAGTATTTGCCTGCACATAGAGCTTACACCGTTGTCTGTATATGTCATCATCATCATTCATTTGCTCAGTAATAAAGTGACCGAGGTATTTCACCTTTTTATGAACTTCAAGAGTTTTTTGTGCCAGTTTAAACAAAGGGAAATTTAGCTGTTTATCCTGCTTGGTTCTACATATCAAAACAGCACTTTTAGCAGCATTGTACTCAATGTCATATTGCACACCATATTCAGTACAGACATTAAGAAGATCCTGTAACCCAGCACTGCTTGGACTAAAAACAACCAGGTCATCTGCATACATAAGATGATTTATCAGTGCTTTACCTAATATACACCCAGTGTTACAGGCTCTCAGTGTATGGACAAATCATCAACATACAAATTAAATAAAATTGGAGACAAAATCCCACCCTGTCTAACACCATTGCTGACACCAAAGGGGGCAGAAATACTGCTTCCCCATTTAACCTGCATGTTCTGATGAGCGTACCAGTAAGAGAGAATCCTCACGATGTATTGAGGAACTCCCCATCTCTTCATTTTATCAAAAAGTTTTCTGTGGTTCACTCGATCAAAAGCCTTAGAGGCATCAATGAAAGACATGAGGACAGATGAATTTTTAGCCCTGTACAAACTATTTCCTTGAGTGCATATATGCACATGTCAGTGCCGTGCTTTGAAGCCAAACTGATTATCCAGAGAAGAGATGAACACACTAACTCTGTCAAACAAGATTCTTTCTAACACCTTAGATAAAATACTGGCTAGTGCAATCGGCCTGTAATTATCCAAGCAGCTCACTTTTGCAGCTTTGTCCTTCATAACTGGTACCAGTAAAATACACAGCATTGAGTCTGGTAATATGCCATGAATCATAAACCCAGTGAAACAGAGTGCTAAAAGAGGAGCTAGCCTTACACTAGCATGTTTTAAATGTTCTGCAGTGATGTGATCCAAACCAGAGGATTTATTATCAGACAACCTATGAATGGCTTCATATACTTCATGTGTCCTTACACTTATTGTGTCATTACTCATGTCAAGATTGTCCTCATATGGTTCACTTTTTATACAGTTAAACAACGCACTGTAATGCTGTCTCCATAATGCTGCAATGTTATCTGCCCCAGAAACACCTTCAACAGTTGATGGTAGAGATGGTTTACAGTTATTAAGAGCTTTCACCTCTTTCCAAAAATCTGCCGTATTATTACACAGCATTTTCCTGGCCAAATAATCTGCTCTTAGCATTTGCTCATTTTTAGTTATAAAGCGAACAGCATACTTATATCTGGCATTCGCACATTTTTTCTGTTCAAATTCTGGGCCTTGTTTAGGTCTTCCAGCCATGGCCCAACATTTATAAGCTATGCGAGCTTCATCATGGTACATGGATACATGTTCTTTCCAGCCAGGTCTGATGTTAGGTTTCTTATGCTTATATTGTTTATCAAGCAGTGTGCCACTTTTATACAGAGCAGTCACTATATCATCATACATGGAGCAGAGTAAATGTTTATGCACAGCATTCTTACAGTTGACATCTTTGCACAAAATAGCTTCTTTATTTATATGCATATTAATAATCATACGGTTCTTGGAGTGAGTGCATACACTCATGAAGTTTAGTAACTTCCGGTCACTGCAACAAGCCCAGGTACAGTTTACCGACGGATGGGTGCAGGACCTTGAAATGCACCGTGTAGAACGAAAGACCATCGTACGTATCATAAGTTTACCAGTCTCACAAATCGTCGTCATAAATACACATTCTTAACCGTTTATTAATATAACCTTTGAGCTCAACGGTAATTAATTAGTAGTGGAAATAATTTCTGGTTCATCACAGAAATGTAGCAGTGACAATAATACTGTATGCTGTAATCGTACTGGGCAATTAGTGATACAAAAAAACCTGTTTTATCCTGTGAATAAACGTATATGTTTTTGTCAATGTACCATAATAACATAAGCGAAACGCACAATAAACAAAGGAGCATAGCGCCACAATTTCTGTTCAGCGCCAGACTTGCTTGTAACCTATATCACCAATTATGTTATGAAAATGACGCATTAACTACAACAGCAGACTGACCTTCGTGTAAATGCTTGGAGCAGACTAACCTGTGAGCTGGAGGTCTGGGACGTTATATTTGTCTTTGAATGGCTGCAATCCAGTCGCCTCTTTGTTACTTCGGAAACATGGCTCGAACAATTTCTCTTCAACGACGTAATCCGATAACAACCGATCTCTTTACCCGTCGGCTTCCCGTGGCTGTCATGCGACCGGCTATTGCAGTTAATAATACAACAGCTTCTTGACATTTTTGTGTTTCTTTTTATCGCTGTGTGACTGATTTCAATTGAAAGCCTGCGTGCGCTAGTACCTCTTGCCACGAGTTCCCAGAATCCTTTGCGGTTTTACCCCTGAATGACGTCACATTTTCAATCTCTATATAATATGCATGTTAAATTTTATATTTGGGGTGAAATATCAAGTCTTTTCAAGTAAACCGGTTCAAGTCCAATTCAAGTCCCAGGTCATTGGTGTAAAAGTCCAAGTCAAGTCACAAGTCTTAGAACATTTTTTCAAGTCAAGTCTAAAGTCATAAAATTAATGACTCGAGTCTGACTCGAGTCCAAGTCATGTGACTCGAGTCCACACCTCTGAGTGAAGGCACTGACTTTACTCTGAGTGAGCTTTCTTTACAGTGGATGAGACACAAACAGAAGCAGAACGTCCCAAAACGAAGTTACAGAAAGTAATACAGCCAAAAACCTGAGCAGAGACATATAACATGGATAAAACACAGACGAACAAGCAACAAACAGCAGAAGACGCAGAGCTTAAATACACCAGGGAGTAACAAGGGAATGGAAAACAGGAGGTAAGCACAGCTGGGGCTGATTTGACATGACGAGACAAAGGAAATAAAGCAGAATACATTTGACACAGGACACAGACTGTCAAAGTAAAACAGGAAGCAAAACACAGAGACACAGACTGTCAAAGTAAAACAGGAAGCAAAACACAGAGACACAGACTGTCAAAGTAAAACAGGAAGCAAAACACAGAGACACAGACTGTCAAAGTAAAACAGAAAGCAAAACACAGAGACACAGACTGTCAAAGGGATGCATCTGACAGGGAACACGGTGTAAACGGTGACAAGAGCGACGAACTGCGACGTGGAAACACGACTGACTGGAGAGACACATGAACGTAGACAAGAAAACATGACTGACTAGTCGTGACACATGCAGGCACAGCGCAAAACCTAACCTAGTCTTTTTTTTTTTGCCTGTCCCGTTTGCCATCAGAATTATTGTCTAAAGGCGAAGAAAGATGCCCAACAGATTTACTTTACCAAAGGGACCATCCCAGCCTTGCCGTAATGGTCCATTTGATTCACCTTTTATTGTTTATTTTATTTTTTATTTTCACTTGCTAAATACGGGACAGATTTGACTGAGGAAAAGAAAGGGGAGAAAGAAAACCAACGGAGAAGAGGAACGGGGATAAAGGGCAAAAAACCAAAAACCAACAAAATAAGCAGACAAAAGATACATCTATCAATCACCTGGATCACCTGTTGAGAAAGAAACGACAAAAAAGAGAGCAATAGAATAAACAACATCACGATAACCTAACCTAGTGTAATAAACGGAAACAAAGAATATAAATACTCAAAAACCATAAACACTGAGTCAGAAGACTCAGGACCATGACATCCACGTTCGTTTGAGGGTTTTAATGATTTCTTTGAATCGTTTTCCATGTTGGAATGATTGTACAGCATACATCTTCAAAAGAAAAAAACAAGAATTGGGTACACAAATTAAAATTTATTTGAGATTTTCTCTAAATTATACATGCAGGTTGAATACATATCTACCTCCTCACTAATGTTTGGTTAAATGCCCCTTAGTAAGTGGCACCTCATCCACACACCACCTTCTTTCATGGCTGGATGTTTGAACATTCTTGTAGTAAATTTGTTGAGTTCTTGGCACTTACACAACTTTTAAGCTGGTTTTGAGGCAACTGCTCGGTCTTTTTTCACTGGGATAAATACAGTATCTGCTCTGGGGCAGATATTTGTACCAGAGCAAACACAACACACACATTTATTTAACCTTAGCTGTAAACTCATACCATCTTTTCCAACTAGTTTACCATAAATGCAAAACCGATTTTGTTGAGACAATTGAATGACAAGACAACTGTGGTTAATAGACACAACTGAGTAGTCTGATGGAAAACTGGAAGAGTCAGTCTGCTTGGGAGCAGGTTGCTGAGGGCCAATAAGCAGTCTTGATGTGGAGCTACATGTTTGTTACTATAGTTATAGGCCTGCACAGGACTGGTGATGGGAGAACATGAAGCACATATGTGGGAAACGCTAGATCAGGAGCTGTGCTGCTGTCACGTTACTACCTGTTAGATATTGCTGTCCAGGAAAGGACACTAGTTGACATTGCTACTTATGGGCCCAATCCTGTGAGTAGCCTGAGTTCCAGAGGGGCATTAAATACTGGTTACGGCTGTGCCGGCTTTAGAGCAGCCAGACTCCCTTTTAACCAGAGTTTTTGTCCTTGTCCAAGAGTCGCTGGTGGAGCATACCTGAAGGTGTTAGTCAGCTGTGGGTTTGGTTGTTACAGAGAGAAGAGATTAGGCTTCAAAACAGCTGCTGGACTAAAGATTTTGAGCACTGGAGTGTGCAGTACTTGTTTGCTGGACTGATGTTGTTTTTGTTTTTTTCAACCTCAATCAGGATTTTTATTTGTCTTTATGCATGAAAAGATTAATAAAAATCCCGATTGAGGTTGTCCTAATTCATGCATGAAAGGGTTGAAAAACAATCATTACAATCAAACACATCGCACATCACATGCTTTTGCTTTTAACTGTAGACTCTGGTTGTGCAGAGTGCAGCCTCCGACACTGTCGATCACAACATACTGTTATCCCGCCTAGAACACTGTGTCGGTTTGAAAGGTACTGTTTTAAAGTTTTTCCAGTCCTACCTGGATAACAGGAGTTTTTCTGTTCACCTCGGTGAACTGTCATCTCCCAGAGCTCCTTTAACTTGTGGTGTACCTCAGGGGTCCATTCTAGGCCCCCTGAACGATCTAAACCAGCATAAAGGGAGTTACAGTAGTCCAGCCGTGAAGTAATAAAAGCATGGACCACCCTTTCTAGATCGTTCCTGCACAGGTAGGACTTCACTCCTTTGCTGAATGTCATCAGCAAAGGTGTGGAAGGACACATTATGTTTGCGCAGCACATCGCCCAGAGGGAGCAAATACAGAGTAAACAGC